GCTTCAAGGAGGAACGCCAAAATAGAAAAGGAGTTATTATTGTATTTGCCTCGGAAAAAGCCTGAAACCGAGATCAAACATCACCCACCACGAGTGGATGACAAACCACCTGAGGTAGTGCTATTTTCTCCTAATTTGAAAATCAGTAGCGAGTACGCTGAGCTCACTTCCCATTGCTGGATGCTGGACTATTCGAAAACTAGAAGGGATTCGCCGCATGAGGAGTGCCTTGAGAATGTTCAAGCTCAGCTTCAGACTGTAGAGCCCCGGGTATCCACTTGGTTCAAGCCACGGTTGTGCTGAAGGCGGTGGGTATTGCAAATGGATTGGAATGGGTAAAAATGGCTGTTCGGGTAGCTGGTAACTCATCAACCAAAAAAAAATAAATAAATAACGAATAAACTAGAGAAATAAAAAAATTCACTAGAGTCTTTGAAATAAAGCTTTTTACGGTGGGGGATAAGGGATTTACAAGGGAAGTAGAAAGTCAGAGGCGATGGGGATAGGGCGAGAAGGAGAACAGACAGTAGCTGCTTAAACCAGCTGCTTTGGGACAAAGTATAAGGGTACAGGGATCATTGAAGGCGAAGCGTTAACATTCTTGTCATTTATCTGACCTCCCTTCCGCCTGGGTCTCACCGTCCGTTCGGCTTTTCTGGACACCGTTTGGGAAAAGATGCTTGAGAGTGGACCATTTCAAAATAACAGATAACAATAAGTCAACGGCTGCTTTCATAGTCCGCCGGCCGGCCGGCGGACTATGAAAGCAGTCAACAGAGTCGCAAGATATTTAGGCACATGGGTATTTATATCCTTGTAATCGTAGTGATTACTCTTTACAAGCGCTAATGCATTCTGCCCTGCCCCGTTACCTGCTTGCGATTTACTGGGATTGCGCCACGTTCAGTACCGATTAGAACCGTGATGGTATTTTAAAGCGCATCTGGGTATCAAGTTGGAAAACAAGGAAAAGTGTACCTTACCAGACTAGACTAAGTGATCTGGGAGGGTATATGTATTTGGTACAAAACAATCCAAAGCTAATCCAAAAAAAAAAGTCTGGAAAGAAGTTAGCCATGTTGATGCGTGCGGTACTCCCACATCTTATACTCATTCATTAATGTTCAGGGCAAAACAGATTCTCCTGAAAGCGAAACTCCCACTTCTCGAATACAGCTCCCAATTCCGGAACGATTACTCGACCATAAAAGCAAAGATGACATCATTGGCGAGTTTTTCTTTACCGGATTACATTACGCGGTGTACTGCCGCTCTTACTGAGCGAAAACTCCTTGGTAAAAGCGACAGCGTACCAATAACGAAAGGCTTTTCCTGGTTCACCTATGTTGGTATACCTAGGTGTGCTGGGGAAAGTCGATTTTCTTCCGTAAAACATAGAATAAATCCAGGATCAGAAGAAAACGCCAAGATTGAAGAAATTATTCGAACTACTACTGCAGAGACCACAATCACGTCTACTGCGACTCCTCTGAAGCCACCTACCCTACCACCCATGAGGCCATTACCGGATCTCCGCATACGGGAAGGCGTCAACGGCACTGCGATTGTAAGCAATCGTTCATTAATAATCAAGCAATTATTGGGCAACTTGAGTTGCTCTTCTTGCCACATTTTATTTTTACTTCTTTTAACTACTTTTTTAATTGCTTTCTGATTACATTTAAAAGTGGAAGTGACCTGGATCGATGGATAGAGATTTTACTTTTTACTATTTCCTTATGAATAATGGGGAACCGGTTGTCTAATAATGATGAGCACTTTGCGATCCGCCATGTAACCGTCCTTCCTTCAAAATTGCAATGACGCTTGAAGTCGTTTCTGGCTAGCGAACCATTCACGTGCCAGTCAGTGTATATACTGAAAACTTCAGTATTATTATTCGTATGATACTTTGCTCTGTTCTCTGATGTTAATGGAATTTNCTCAGCATAAGCTTCACGTATACTGTAACCAGTAACTTGAACAATGCGTTATCTGTCACATCATCACGCATATGTTTTGAGAAGCAAGCTGGCGCCCGCATATAAGCATGCCGGTGAAATCATAGAATACTGATTCATTCTATTTAACTTCTCTCCTCGGCTTCTTATTTCTTGATTATCCATCTTCATTTTCAATTTATCTTCATTTATAGAATCTCTAACTACACCTAGCACAATTAGTATTAAATCCGCTTTGTATTTCCATTGTATCATTCTCGGAAAGAGTATAGGACACTTTTGATCCTTTTATCACTTCCTCCGAAAATGTGGTTCTCATTAGAATTATCATTATCCTAGTGTATTAGTAAAGGTTTAATTACCCAAGTTTGAGGTCGTATCGTGTACAAGTCCCGCGTGGCAGAATTTTAGTGACGACCATATCCTATATACCTTCACGACGACTTTAGTGTACAAGCAACAACTTTTGTCCTTTTAATGAACGGGTCTGGGTCAGCCTGAATCTATGCCGGAGGGCTAAAGCCCTGTATGCCAGGAACTAATGCAGGGCTTAGAAATGTGTGTTCAAGCGGCCCCGCTTACTGCACCTCCCTGCTCGAGCTTGGTTTCGAGGGATTCGGAATGGTTTCCGCAACACCTGCTGAGCTTCCAATCAATAGAGTATCTTATTCTGATCCCGATTTCCGTTTTTTAGTGCTCTCAGTCATCGGATTTCAGTCGCACTTCCCATCTAGGCTTCAATATTGATAAAAACCCATATATTCCTCCTTAACTTGGTTACATTTGCTTGTAAGGACGGTTCTTGGAAAAAAGAGATACGCAATAAGGACCCAGAGACTCCTGAAGGTGGACGAGTTTTAGCGACTTCGTAGAAACTGCACCATTAACAGCGGAGCACATTTTGATGTAGCCAGTTCTACTTAACTGCAGCAACTTTGATCTCGTCCAATTACCTCCTTCATTCTATTCCCGTCATGGTCGTCTTGAACAACCTCATATTTCACTTTTGAGAACCCTTAGATATCATGAATTCCGCGAAATTTCTTACTTTTTTCGCCATGCTTTATCCTCCCCTAAAACTTCCTCTTTTCAAATTGAAAAAGGCACAGCAAAATAACCGTGATTTGCGCTTTCTAAAAGGGAAGCACCAGCTCGTTTTAACTGGTAAAAGTCCTCTTCCATTTATTGCTCAAATGGCATATCGCCAAGTAAATATTTAAAGAAATGAATATGAAATGAATATCTCTTGGTGCATTGTTTCAGGCGGAAAGAAGGACCATGGCAGAGGAGAAAACATTCAGAGATGGAGTCGATGCTGATTTGTTGAATATAGGACTAGCCACTGGTGCTCCGTTGGATCTCGAAGCGGAAGGAGCTCACGTGGTTCCGTATCGGACAAGAAACGTACCAGCGTTAGTTCAAGAACGAAACATGTTTTGCTGTTATCAACGCTAAATTTTACTGGATTATATTAAATTTGACTATGAGCCAACTACAACCTAAGCTGACCTTCCTATTAATCTGAAGCTCCCGCGTAACGTAGGTCTGCCACATTAGCTTCTTTTCTACAATCAGACCTGCAACAGCAGTCAGAATCCCAGCAAAGTGCACGTCGCAACGAGAGGTAGAGCGTTAACCAATTACCTCTCGGCATACGCCATGCATTCTACTCCCATTGGAATTTCGCGCCAGTATGGAAGGGGTGATATCATTTTGCTGTTTGAAGGTCCGCTTTAGGATTTATATTCTCCCATTTGTAGAAGCAAAGCAAGCGATTGCTTATGCGAATTTCCGTAGGCAATCACACTTTCTGCATAAATGCTATAATTAAGGGAACCAACAAATAGTTTCCAACTTCTCTCTTGCTTTAACCTCGGCATAGTTGTTTATTATTTAAATACTCTTGTGCCGTGCGAGGTTGTTAGGTGGAACGATTTATTAATTAAGCATTAAGCAGCTATTAGTTCGGAACAGGC